TAAAACTTAACTCACAACTCTTAAGTTGTACATCTTTTTTAGCTGACATTCCCAAAAGTCCAGGGCACACACACTCTACAACCCTGCCTCAGAGGCCTTTCCCTAGTGAAACAAGACACCCCAGATAACAGCCTCTCCAACGTCAGAGATTAAGGAATTGAAGGACCAGCGGAAACGACTCAGCGTCTAACTTTTAACTCAGGCTTCAGAGCCCGCCAAGCCACAGAGCGACCGCAAAGGCGCCTGCGCCCTCTAGCCGGCTCCGTCTCCCAAGTTCGCCTCGCGCTCCGATTGGCTGCTCTCCGCACCAGCCCCGCCTCAAAGCTGGGCGCCAGGTGATCCACTGGCCACCGCGTGATTGGCTGTTCCTCTCGCCGGGCCGCCGGCTCCGCCGCGAGGAGCAGGAGTCTGGGAAGCAGCAAGTGGCTTCCTCCCGCACCAGACAGCACAGGGTGGGCTGCCGTCAGCCTCAGCAGGCCCGGGCAGGCCTCGTGAGAATGTAGGACGCAAGCGTTTTGGGAGGTTCGCAAAGCGGACTGCGGAGCCCCTACCCGCAGCTTTGGTCTGCGCCCTGGCTCCGGCCTTACTTGTGTTTCCCCCACAAGAATGGCTTCCCCCAGCCTTTCCTGATGTTGGTGAGGTTTGGACGTATTAGTAATATTGTCATTTTTCTTACTATCATCGTCATTTTGAGAGTCCACTGCGTATAAGCATTGGCGGTCCTGCGCAGGGCGCCATGCAGAAAGCCATGAGTTAGAAGCTGGAGGAAGGAGGGCTTATAGATGCTTGAGGACTGTCCTTAAACCAGCATGAAATGTTGGAGGTAAGTCAGCTTTATAAATTGTGCTGATGCTTTTATAATCTCGGAGCTTATGGTTTAGTAGGGAGGGTTATTCGTTGACTAAACACTCGTTTATTGAGCCGCCTTCTGTTGTCCCAGGTACCCTGCTGAGTGTAATGGTTGCAAAGGCCAGTGGGACCCAGTCCTGGTTCTTTAGGACCTCTGTCTGTGTGTTGGGACTGGTGGGTGAGACAAGGAAATGGAAGATGGGAATGGGTGAATATTTGGTGTGTGACGCCTACTATGGTCGGAAAAAGTGCTGTGAGAGTCAGAGGAGGGGGTAACGAGGGAGTGAGGGGGTAACGAGGGAGTTAGGGACCACTCAACCGAGAAGGGGGCTTCCCTGATAGCTCAACTGGTAAAGAATCCGCCTGCAATGCAGGAGACCCCGGTTCGATTCTTGGATCAGGAACATCCACTGAAGAAGGGAAGGACTACACACTCCTGGAGAATTCCATGGACTGTATAGTCCATGAGGTCGCAGAGTTGGCACGACTGAGCGGCTTTCACTTAACAGAGGTGACACTTGAACAAGTCTTTAGGACTATAATTAGACTTTATCCAAATTGAAAGGGGTAGGGAAGGCACCTCAGACAGGGAAAAGTTTAAAGAGGAAGAGAACTAGGAAAGTGTGCCCACTGTGACTGGAGCACACTTGGAGCTCTGCTCACAAGTTTCCTGCTTTGAGACAGTTATTTAAATTAAGTTCTGTTAGCTCCTTTGTTTTTTTGTAACAGGTACTTCTGCAGAGGTTGGTGGGATCAAGGCTCAAGCCTCTGAAAAGGCACTTTGTTTTTAATAGTTTCCCTCTCTTTGTGGTGTTTAGTTGCTGAATGGAGAACATAATGTATATGCTGAATGGAGGCCTTATGTAGCTGTCCAGTTTTAACTACGGAGTATCAGTCTATTGTCAGTTTTATAAGTGGCCAACTGAAGCGTGTTGTGTGTCCAGAATTGTTATTTACATATTGACAGTACTCTGCTGAAAAGCTGGAGAGGTTGACATTGTTTGCAAATCAGGAGGTGTCACTTAGAATAAATAAAATGTAGTCAACTTTCTCATTCAGAAATTGATTATCCAGGTTGTGAATTACTCAGGCTTTGCATTGTTTCCTTTATCTTGCCCATCCTCTGGAGAAAAATAAAATTAAACCTTTATTTAGCTGGTAGTGGAAAAATATAAATCTGGTGACCAGACCTGTTTCTCTTCCAACTCTGTTGTTAATTTGCTATGGACCTTTGTCAAATCATATACTCCTTGGGTTTGGTTTTGGACTCTTTAGAAGACTTGTATAAAATTTTTATGGCTAACACTTTTCATCTTTATTGGCAGTAGAATTGTAAATCAAATTATATGTTAAATGAATTGGAGTTTATAAAGGCTTTTTAGTAGAAAATCTTTCCTGAAGGTTTTCCTTTAGAGCTAGACTATAAATCCCTTCACAGACAGTCCCTAAGATTTTATCATGCATGCTGTTTGGGCTCACTAAAACCAGAAATTATTTTGAACTGTAAATGCTTCTCTACTCTGTATTTTAAAAGCAAACAGCCAAAAAAACCCCCATACCCCAAAACGAAACTTGTTCATGTTTACATTTTGTACAGCAGAGTTGTACATACTGGTGGATAGTGGAAGATGCAGTATTGAAAGCCCATGCCTCAAATTTATCTGAAAAGAAGCCTTTTTTTTTTTTCATGGGTAAACCTGAGTTTTCTCTGATGTGAGATAGGGTTTGGGGCTGCTCTTATGAAATACAAGGAGGTGAAAAGCAATGATGCGATGATGAGTGAAGCATAGTCTGACCTGGTATTGCCATTGCTTCAGTGTTGGCTTTGACCAGGGTATGACCCCTTAATCTTCTCTCTGAGCTGATTCTGATTGTGGTTTTTCTACATTGGTATGTTCTAGCCTATTTGAATACTGGCTTTATTATGTGTTAGAATGTTTCTTTAATATGCCTTTGTATTACTGATTCTTTCATGTTTTCTTTGTAGGTTGAGGTGAAAAACATGGCTTTGATATCTTCATGGAAGACTGCATTATTTCATCCCTGAATCTGGTTCAGTTCCCTTATTGACTTATTACTGTGTTAAAATGCTTGTTTAGCAGATTGTAAAATAAATTAACATGTACATGCTGTCTTGGGGCAGACTAAGGGAAAACAGGTATTCAGCCTAGGAAAATGTTGCTCGTTGGATTTCCTATTAAGTCAGTATGTCTTGGGTTTAACTTTGAAACATTAAAAAATTTAAATATTTTAAAATCTATAGGATATTCTATTTCAATATTTCTGTTACCTTCGTGATGTCAGAAAATGTGCTTTGAATTGCTAAAATGAGTTGTATTAGAAAACACCTGTCTTAGCAGAGGCACTTAAAAATCATTTTCATTCTTCTTCTTCTAGTAATGATTTTAAAAAAACAACGTATATTTTCACCAAGCTGCCAATCCAGTGGCTTGCATTTTTCTACGTGGGTAACGTAAGTGTTTCTGCAGAATAAGGTGTTTCACGCAAGACTAATTTCTTGCTGTTGGAGTAGAGGATTTCTCTCCAAGTATTCAATTAGCAAAAAAAGCAAAATGTTAATATAAAATGCCTCAAAAAGTCCAAAGTGGTCTAAATGAAAATTTACTGTAAGTACCTAAACTAGGAAATTCCCTGGTGGTCCAGTGCTCAGGACTCCAGTGGTTAGGCTTTCACTGCCGAAGGCCTGGGTTCAGTCCCTGGTCAGGGAACTAAGATCCCACAAGCCTTGAGGTGTGGCCAAAAATAAATAAATACCTCATCTAATCTTTCAGTTTCCAAATAATCATGACATGGAACAGCTCTTTGCCAAAAACATTTATTCTTAAAATTTATTTAAGCGTTTCATAGAAACTTTAGTAATAACCAGAATAATTCATGCCAGTTTAGCAAACTCTTAACAACAAGCAGAAAGAGCTTATTGAAAGGTGCTTTATGTACACAGTCACAGTTAGGTCAGTATTTTACTCCATCTCTTCATTAATAACTTTGCTTTCACATTGAAATCTTCAGACTATTCTGTATATACATTCAACCTCTATTTTCCTTTAACCGGTTTCCCAAGGAAGACATGTGTGTTTCACAAAGGGAACTTTAAAAGTTGATAAACTATAGCAGGTGTTATTTAACAAGTAGATCACAGCAGATGGAAGGAGCTGTTGTTTTCCTAAAGTGTTTCTAAGTATGTCTATAAAGAGCAAGTCCATATTTCATACTGTTTGCAAGCCAATAAAACCTATTCCTCAGAGGCAAGTTTCCCAGGTGGCTCAGTGGTAAAGAATCTGCCTGCCAATGCAGGAGCTACAAGAGATGCAGGTTCGATCCCTAGGTTGGGAACCTATGCTAGAGGAGGAAATGGCAACCCATTCCAGTATTTTTGCCAGGATAGTCCCATGGACAGGAGCCTTTTGGGCTACAGTCTATGGGATTTCAAAGACTCGGACATGACTGAGCCACTGAGCACATAAGCATGACAGAGGCTGGTTACTGCTTTCTTTTCCAAAAAGGCCTTTTTCCGATTCACCACCCATATGAGGTCTAACGTGCGTTTTCCCTGAGAGCTTCTATACCTTTTGTCCTTTAATGAAGGGAAGAGAAGATCTTCTGTGTCAAGTATTCTCTTTTATCCTCCCCCTCTGCTGGCCCTCACATCCCTTGCCAGTCCTGATTCTCTAGATAGCTTGGTCAACTCTAAGTAGGGGTGTCTAGGGAGCAAGCTAAAAGGCTAAGATTAACGAGTAAATCCTTTTATATTCTATGTGGTTGTCTGAAGTTCACACAATTATTAATTGAGAATGCTGCTGCTGCTAAGTGGCTTCAGTCGTGTCCGACTCTGTGCGACCCCATAGACGGCAGTCCACCAGGCTCCCCCATCCCTAGGATTCTCCAGGCAAGAACACTGGAGTGGGTTGCCAGTTCTTTCTCCACTGCATGAAAGTGAAGTCGCTCAGTCGTGTCCGACTCTTAGCGACCCCATGGACTGCAGCCTACCAGGCTCCTCCGAGCATGGGATTTTCCAGGCAAGAGTACTGGAGTGGGCTGCCATTGCCTTCTCCTAATTGGGAATGAGAAGTATCAAGCCCTGTGGCCTTACAGTGCAATCATTTTGTTGTGAGATAAGGTGCTAATCCCTCTCAGTTCTCAGGGGAGTACAGTTTGATGAGATGCTGTACCTCTGTTGGATAACCTGTGATAGGACAAGCCTGGTGACTCCTCACGTAATTAAACACACAGCGGTAACAAAACACATAGCCAGAGGTGGCGAGAACCGTGTCGTTCACCCGGTTTTTACGACACAGTGGGCACACAGTCTTCATTTTGGGTAACAGGGGAGAATCAGAATTGTAGTCTAGGTGTACAGGTGGTGGGGGGCTAGGCAGAGCAGTCAGGGTCTTGATGGTTTCTTGGTTTTCCGATGAATACCACCACTCAAGGAACTGCAGGAAGAATACACCCACTGAAAGGCCAGTAGAGAGGGATAAGGCAACACCCCCCACGGCTTTCTTCAGAGCTGACTTTATCTTCTCACCAATGCTGTTTGGAGAACAGAATAAGGAGGCAAAGAGAGAAACTGTTTGTTTAGTTATAATCACAGAATGACTAATAGAAACGTAGTTCTTGCATTTTTCATTGGAATCATTGATTCAGCTTGGGGATTGAAAATTGTGTCCTTAATGGTCCCTTCTATACCATTCCCTCTTTCTGACTTATAATATTTTAGGAGTATAGGAGCTAAGATTTGTTTTTAACGACTAGAGCTTGTGTTTTGAGAAAGAAATTAGTGAGATTATATAGACTGTATAATCAACTTGTACACTGATTATACAGACCTTCCCAGGCAGGGGGTGAAGGATAGTAATATCCAGGAAAAAAAAACAACCCAGCAGTATTGAGGAATATATTTGAACTTGTAGGAGAACACAAACACTAACTAAAGTGGGATGTATGTGCATGTTCAGTCGTGTCCAACTCTTGGCGATCCCATGGACTGTAGCCCACCAGTCTCCTCTGTCCATGGGACTTTCCAGGCAGGAATACTGGAGTGGGTTGCTGTTTCCTACTCCAGAGGATCTTCCCGACCTAGGGATTGAACCCTAGTCTCTGCTATCTCCTGCACTGGCAGGCAGATTCTTTACCACCAGCACCAAATAGAAGTGGGAGAGCACCATGGTAAGAGCAGTCTTTAGAATTGTATTGATCTGGCTGGAATCTCAGCTCTGCCACCTTTTAGCTGTGTGGCCTTGGTAAGATACTTAACTATTAGAACTTAGTTTCTTCAACTGTTAAATGGTGCTTCTGCATTATTTCATTGAGTTGTGATAAGGATTCAGGTGATATACATAAACATCTGTGTACCAGCACAGGGCCTGGTACATAGCAAGGGTGCAGAAAAATGCAGGCAGTATGAGGAGGAAAGTTACCAGGAGAGCAGTCCTTGTTTAATGGACACATGAATTTTTCAATGATTTCATGGAATAACCTCAGATTTGGAGTGAAGGAGGTGAATTATAAAATTGGGATCAGATTTTAGGATTTATTAATCAAAGACTTTGGGGAAATGTTAAGGTCTTACCTCCCAGCTGGTAGCTGCATCATGCTGGCCTTAGCTGATTTGTGCTCCAGAGCTTGTATATCCTGAACTGTAAGCCGACCTAGCCGAACTCCAGCCAGCCTCAGCAGTGGTGAGTGATGCTGAACCTTTCCTAGGATGTATCGAAGCTGCTGTACCAGAAACCAGCCTTCCCAGGCCATGTTAACAAATGGGTAGGCTGCCAGGAAGGCTCTGTAAAATCGTTTCCAGCGGGAAGAAGGGGGATGGATGGAATATTCGTCTTCTTCTCTCAGGCTAGAAACCAGCTTCTCCAGTTTCACTTTCAGATAGGGAAGAAGGACCAGGAACATGATTGATTTCATAAGCTGCTGCTTTGGGAGGCCAGCACTGGCCAATCTCTGAAGCCTGTGTTGGTCTCCCATTACAATCCTCTTTAAGCCATAGAAGTTTTCAGAAAAGGAGGCGCTGGTTTTCGACAGATAATGCTGTTGGAGCAGAAGATCTAGCAGGGTAAAGATTTCATCAAACCACCTCCAAAAGAAGCCAAAGTGGGCAGGATTTGATTCTGCAAGAACCTACAGCAAAATAAATAAATGAAATTCATTCCATTACAACAGCTACTATGCCTTGTTATTTATATTTCCTTTTTTCCCCTCTAAATTCTACACTTTTCTTTCTACATCTTAACCTCCCTGAAGGGCTGGGTATGTAGTGCACACAACACTCTACACAGAAGAGAGACTCCATAACTTAAATCGTAGGATATGAATTATATGCTAATTGTTATTTCAAAACCGAGGCCAACAAATTCAAATTATTGGTTTTTTGTTTTTTTTTTTTTTTACCCCAGACGTCTCTGAAACTTTCCAGAGAATTAAATTCTTACCTTGACCACATGCTGAAGAGCAGGTCTCACTGCTGACATTAAACTGTCCTGTGCTACCACCTCAAAGATGGATGGCTGGTCATCCACAACAGAGGCAGTCGTGATGTGAGCCCCGTGCTCAGCCATAGTTTCGTGTGTGCACTGGGTTTTTCTTTGTCCACAAGCTCTTTAATAAGCATGAACTTTTGGGGGGCGCCAGATGGGTGCTCAGTCTCAACGATAACTTTTATCTCAAAAGATAGCCCCTCAATTTTACTGGAACTGGGCAAAAAAAAAAAAGACCTCTTCCGGAGGCAAGGTAGGTGGGCGGGTGTTCGAGTGAAGGGAGGTGAAGAACTAAGTTAACACAGACGTGGTTAAATAGTGTGTAGGAGGGGTGACTTGACTAATGCTGCGCTTCACGGGACAACACGTTGACTATGGGAGAGACAGCTCGGCGCTGGGCGCTGGCCTGTCGAGCGGCAGTCCCGGAGGCTGCCAGTCAGGGACTCTCAAGAGGGTTCAAAAGCCAGGAGGCTCTGAGGGATCGGGCGTGCACCAGTACGGCCAGCCCCCCGCGGCCTGGCTCAGCTGTGGGCTGAGCAGTTCCCCCCAACCCGTGACCGTCCTTGCGCGCTGACCCGCGACACCGCGGTTGAAAGGGGGTCTCCCCTTTACGACAGAATCCGCAGCCGGAAATAGAAGCAGCTTGGAGCTTGAGGAAGGCCGGCGGCGGAGAGGCGCTCTAGCCCGGAATGAGGCCCTGGAGACCGGAACTAGAGAACTCTATGACCTCATCGGGACTTCCGCTTCCGCCCCCGCTGAAAATAAAGGAGGTGCTAGAGGCGATTGGGTTTGCGTCGCTGTCTTGTTAGACAGCCACGTTTCTGATCTCTCTGCGGAGTCTTTTTGGCAAGGTGTTGGGGGCACTGCATCGACGTCTGGAGCCTGAGCTCGGCCCGCAGCTGAGGCGTTTGTTTCCTGGGGCGATACAGATAGGGGCGAGGGACCCAAGGGAATGTGGAGATGGAAGCCTCACTTTGCTTGCGGCGGGGGTCGTGGTTCACTATTATCTGCCGCCTTCGGGAAGGATTTAAAGCGACCTAGGCAGAGATAGAAGCCTTAGCTTTATGGCCACCAATTATTAAAAGTTTCCTGCCGTTGCTTATAACTTGGGACGATTCTTTTTCCTTCCGCCCTGTAGCTTAATTGTCTTCTAGATTAGGTTCCGTTCAGTCATAACTCTAGGCACTTGCTCCATTAAATGAAAATGGTTCGTGTCCTCGAACATCGTAGGATGTGTTACATTGGCCATATAAATACGGTGCTAAGACGGAAGGATGCTGATGAATTCTAACCTAAGAGAAGGTGCTTTCCATTAATCGCATACCAAAATTAATGTAATTAACGTGACGATTTGCAAAGTGCTTTTACATCGTATGCAATTGCTTTGAGTTCCTGCTGCAGGTTTACTGAATTTGGATAATATTGATGGCTCAAGTTCATCTCCTTCTTCAAAACCTTCCCCCAGTCCCTGGGGGAAAGCTGTAAATAGAAATAGCTAGAAATAGAAGGTATTACTATTTGCCCTAGAGGATCTTATGGTACAAAGGTAGTTAATTGGTTAACATAATGAGGACGCTCGAAAACAAAGTTTTCTTTTAGTTGTTTCAACAGGAAAAGTAAAATCTTGCAAGTTAACTTTATAGTTCCAAAAAGTGTTTTAGGGAATTCCCTGGTGGTCCACTGGTTAGCACTCCGTGCTTCCCCTGCACTGGGCACGGTTTCCGTCCCAGGTTGGGGGAAGATCTCCCATGCCATGGGCCGAGAAAAAAAAAGTTTCACACTCTGCTAGGATACCTGTTGGAGAAAGTCACATTGATGAAAGATTTTACCTTACAGAATTTTAAGGAACAGAGATAATGTATCTATATAGGGTACCTGGTTTTAGGTGCTTGATCAATGGTAGCTATTATAGGCAGGCTTTTCTTAAGTGAACAGCAAAAGGACAAAGTTGAGAAATAAAATCAACTAAGTCAAGTGGAAAGTTAAACATTTGTATCAGTTAGGGGTCTTTGGTTACAAGAAACAGAAAACAGGCTAATTTAAACTAAAAATATATATATATATTAGAATGTAGAGTAGCTAACAAAACAGGAATTAAACAGTTGTACTGGATGTTTCTAGCAAGAATTAGCAAAGTCTCACCCAGGCACTGATGTTGCAATAAATGAGCTTCAACACATTTCTGTCATTGTACTCATGATTCAGATTCCTATTAATTGACCTTAGATTAAGATTACCTCTCCACTCCCTGTTTCACTCTTAGTCAATTAATAGTTCTTTGAGAATATTTCAAAAGTAAACTGACATTACTACATGAGAAAAAAAGGCAGTCAGAAATAACAATGTCAGTTAATACAGCCAATAAATAATAAACAGCTCATCACAAACCCCACTCAGATTTACAGTATAATGAGACAGGACACACAAAAATTGATTGTGCTTATGTTAAAAAGTATTAAGAGCCATTGGATAGGTTAATATGGTGAGATTCATATGGTGATAACAGCTGGGAGAAATGTGGCTGTTCAAACTAGCTCCAACAGAAGCCCTGTATTGACCTTTGTAACCAAAGGGAAGATTGTTTCTAGCCTCACGTTTTATCTCAGCTTCTCTCTGCCAGTTGCTTTCTGCTAGAGTGATGTAACCGGGCATCTCCTTGTATCTCATGTCAGGACCAGAAGTCCGCTGAGAAATTAGGTGGACCTCAAAAGGTTGAGTACATTTGGGAAAAGTCATAGTCATGGTGAATCTGCCCGCAGTGCGGGCAACCCGTTTCGATCCCTGGGTCAGGAAGCCCCTGGAGAAGGAAACGTCAACCCACTCCAGTATTCTTGCCTGGAAAATTCCATGGACAGAGGAGCCTGGTGGGCTATGGCCATGGGATCGCAAACAGTCGGACACGACTGACTGACTTCACTTACTCACTACAAAATGGATAAGAGGGCTAGGAAAGGGATGGCAGTGGGGGCTGGGAGGGAAGAACCTTTTAGATAAGGTAATCAGGGAGTGCTTTTATGACATTACAGTTAAAATAAGACCTAAGTTATAAGCCAGTCATAACTCAACCCTGTACAGGGTTGCTGCTGCTAAGTCTCTTCAGTTGTGTCCGACTCTGTGTGACCCCATAGATGGCAGCCCACCAGGCTCCACCATCCCTGGGATTCTCCAGGCAAGAACACTGGAGTGGGCGTATAGGGTTAGGGAAGACGAATAATAGGTAGGAGGAGTGGTAGTTATAAAGCCCCTAGGATGGGAAACAGCTTGGAGTATTTGAAGGCTGCGAAATGTAGCAAGAAGTGAAATGAAGAGGAACTGAGTGACGAAAAAAATAAAATGATGTTAGAGAGATAGACAGGAACCAAACCACTCACAAGTCATGAGAAGGAGACTGGATTTTAGTCAAAGTGTAATGGGAAGCTTTTGAAGAGTCATGACCAGGTTTATATTTTTAAGATGACCCTGTAATGGTTATGTAGTTAGCTTTACTTTGTGTGTGTTTGTCAAGCCTTACATTTATGATGTATGCTCTTTTTGAAATGTTTGTTATACTTCAAAAAAAGTTAAATATTTGGCTGCCGTATGGAAAATGGTTGGAGGAGAGTTGAGTTTTCCAGTAGTTCAGGCAAGAGGTCATGGTGAATTGGACTAATGAGGTGAACAGAGGGAACTGGACAAAGTTGAGATAGTTTTTGAGGGTAGAATTGACAACTTCGAGATGGAATGAATGTGGCAGTTAAGGGAAAGAGAGAAATCAAGAATGACCCCCAGGTTTCTGGCTAGTAATTTCTGTCAGTGTAATTCACTGAGATAATTGCAATCTTAGCAAATATTTACACTCCAAAGGCTTCCCAGGTAGCTCAGTGGGTAAAGAATCTGCCTGCAATGCAGGAGACCCCAGTTTGATCCCTGAGTTGGGAAGATCTCCTGGAGAAGGGCATGGCAACCCACTCCAGTATTCTTGCCTGGAGAAGCCCAAGGACAGAGGAGTCTGGGGGGTACAGTCCATGGGGTTGAAAAGAGTCAGAGACAACTAAAACAACTGAGCTCAGGCACAGCACAAACTACTCAGAACAAGTCCTAGTCAACAACACGGCCATATATCGCCTCATATTCCTCATATATATGCTATGCGCAGGCATAGTTACGTGACTTAGGTAGCCTAGTTCATTTCATCCTTATAATAATATTATGGTCGGATATTACTATTTCTTCCATTGTATAGATGAGAAAACTAAAGAACAAAGAAATGGGGAAAACTGGGAGAAGGACAGTTCTGTTCAGTTCAATCTCTCGGTTATGTCTGACTATTTGTGACTCCGTGGACTGCAGCACTCCAGGCTTCTCTGTCCATCACCAACTCCCAGAGCTTGCTCAAACTCATGTCCATTGAGTCAGTGATGCCATCCAACCATCTCATCCTCTGTCCCCTTCTCCTCCTTCAATCTTTCCCAGGTCTTTTCCAAGGAGTCAGTTCTTTGCATCAGGTGGCCAAAGTATTGGAGTTTCAGCTTCAGCATCAGTCCTTCCAATGAATGTTCAGGACTGATTTCCTTTAGGATGGACTGGTTGGATCTGCAGTCCAGGGACCCTCAAGAGTCTTCTCCAACACCACAATTCAAAAGCAACTATTCTTCGGTGCTCAGCTTTCTTTATAGTTCAAGTGTCACATCCATACATGACTACTGGAGAAGGACAGGTTCTATACAAATTAGGAAAATGAGAAACTGTTGGAAGTTTTTGAACGGGGGGAAGAGGTAGGAATCAAAGATTTTTCTGGTGGCATCTTCTTTACAAAATACAACTCTGTTTTCTGTGAATTGTACCTGAAACCAGGTTTTTTTTTTTTTTTAACTCCCCACCCTACCCCCTACTCTTATGACTTGGCATATATATAGAATTACCTAAAAGTGCTATTAGCTATTTGGTGGTGAAGTTTGGGGAATAGGTCAGGGCTAGAGATAGGTTTTAGGAGTCATATGATTAGGAAAAATAGTTGAACCCATGATATTGCTAAAGGGATAGTGTAAAGAAAATGTATGAGTATAGAACATAAATCCTTGCTACTCTCTCCCTCAAACACC